AACAGCAGCAGCTGTCGTTACTACAGCAGCAGCAGCAACAACAACAGCAGCCACAATATAAATACCCAAGAAAAGGCGAAGGCACTAGTTTTATTTTGCTGGTTAGCTTTGAATGAATGAATGGAGGAGTGAATGAATGGAGGAATGAATGAAAGAAAGAATGAATAAATGAATGAATGAATAAATGAATAAATGAATGAATGAATGAATGAATGAATGAATGAATGAATGAATGAATGAATGAATGAATGAATGAATGAATGAATGAATGAATGAATGAATGAATGAATGAATGAATGAATGAATGAATGAATGAATGAATGAATGAATGAATAAATGAATGAATTAATAAATGAATGAATGGTTGGATGAATGAGTCAACCACCCAACCAACCCACCAACCAACTCAGCAACAATTGCTATTATTTTTACCACTCCACTTAATGATGATTAATGCTAGGTTGTCTGGCGTTATGTTGCTAGGTATGGTTGTTATTGTTGAGTGATGGAGTGAATATCATCGTTATCATCATCATCATCATTGTTATCATCATCGTCGTCATCATCATCCTCATCGTCGTCATCATCATCATCAGCAGCAGCAGCATATCTCTACAGACGTACACACATACAAATATATACATTCAAACACACGCATACATACAAACATCGAACACACGTGCGAACACATACATACACACAGACAAACAAACAGACAAACAAACTAACAAACAGACAAACAAACAAACAAATGTACAGCAAGAAAAGTTGAAAACCTCAGAAATGCAAGTGTCTCAACTAAAAGATGACAATGGCATTTTATCAAATGAGAAGAAGTCTCTTGAAAACGCGTTGGACAAACTGAAAAGCGAAAATGAATTGCTTGTATGTTTTTTCTGTGTATTTTTATTCTGTATTTCAGTTTTTTTGTATTTCCGGTTTTGTATTTTTGTATTTCCGACTTTGTATCTTCTAGTATGTTTTGGGGAAACTTTTTTTTATGAATGTATTCTCTTGAAGAGAATTCTATTATAATACCCTTGCTTCTACGGTCTTTTCGGTTGATACTACTATTACTACTACTACTACTACTACTACTACTACTACTACTACTACTATTATTGCTGCTGCTACTACTACTACTGCTGCTGCTACTACTACTACTGCTGCTGCTGCTACTACTACTACTACTACTACTACTACTACTACTACTACTACTACTGCTACTACTACTAATACTACTACTACTACTACTAATAATAATAATAATAATATTGTTAATAAAAATAGACAAAAGAAATATCGGAGTCAAAGTTGAAAGTTCAAGAACTTTATGACTCACTAGCTAAACATTTAGCTACGTCATCATCATCATCGTCATCATCATCAACCACAACAACAACAACAACAACAACCTCATCATCATCATCATCGCCATCGCCATCATCATCAACAACAACAACAACAATATCATCATCATCAACATCACCGACGCTTGAAATATTAAAAACAAGAGCTGAAAAACAGAAGATATTAATACAAAAATTAAAAGACGAATTGAAGGTAAGATGATGATGATGATGAAGACGATGATGATGACGATGATGATGAGTATGGTGATGATGACGATGATGATGAGTATGGTGATGACGATGATGATGATGATGTTTTATTTTCACATTTTTCGCAGAAACAAAAATCCTTGAAAAAATTAAACTTGGATGAAGAGCTGGAGAAAAAGGTGACTACAACAACAACAACAACCACAACAACAACAACCACAACAACCACAACAACAACAACAATAATAATTACAAGAACAACAACACAACAAACAACAATAATTATAACAATAATTATAACAACGAATATAAATATAATCCATAATTTATAAAATTATAATTTTTCAGACCGTAAGATTTATGCTACCGGGGGCTACTAGGCCGATCGTTAGTAGTGATAGATGGAACGATTGAATGAATGAATGATTGAAAGAATGAATGAATGAATGAATAAATGAATGAATGAATGAACGAACGAACGAACGAATGAATGGATGGATGGATGAATGAATAAATAAATGGATGAATGGATAGAAAGATGAAAGAATAACTAGAAGAATGAAAGACGAATAAGCGGGAAATATCACATCGTAATAAACGAACGATTAATAAAGAAAGAAAATAAAAATACTTTTTCTTCCCACACACACACACGCGCGCACACACACACACACACGCGCGCACACACACACACACTGAAACACACGCACACATTTTAGATAAACGGTAGATTGGCCTATAAAAAAGACATGCAGTTCCTATTCTACGATGTCAGTAGCGACGAAGACGACGACGACGATGGTGGTGGTGGTGGCAGTGATGATAATGATCCAGTTAACGGCGGCGATGATGATGATGATAATGGTGGTGGTGATGATGATGATGGTGATCTCAATGACGATGAAGCCAAAGAGTTCAATGGAGATGAAAGATTAATCACCCAAGTTGATAGACTGAAAAACGAAGATGATGAAGAAGAAGATGATGATGATAACGACGATGATGATGATAATGATGATAGCGGACTGAGTAAATCGTACGACGAAGATGATGAAGATGATGCTGATGCGAAGAAAGCTGGTGATGATTATGATGGAGGGAAAGGTTTGGAGAGAGGTGATGATGATGATGGTGGTGGTGGGGAGGAAGTTAAGAATGGGGTTAGTGAAGGTTTCTTTATTATAAATATTATCACTAGCATCATCGTCATCATTTTCATCACTCGCGTTGTTGCCCCCACAAAAACACCAACGTCATCACGGCCATCATCATCATAACCGTCCTATCATCATCATCATTACCGTCCATCATCATCATCATTACCGTCCATCATCATCATCATTACCGTCCATCATCATCATCATTACCGCCCTATCCACCATAATCATCACAATCATCCTCCTTATCACCATCACCAGATTGAGTCAGAATGCACACACGCCGACTACAAGAGGCTGATGAAGGAGCATCTATCGCTGCAAAAATCATACGCCGAACTCGCCAAACTTCCATTGGTCGGTCTTGATGATGATGTTGCTATCGTGCTGTTGTTCATGATAATGATTGTGATACTGATGGCGACGATGATGATGATGATGATGACGCTAATGATGATGATGAAGACGACAACAATTGTGGTGGAGATAAACTTACTGGCACTTCTTAACTCTAACATAGCATAGCTCACAAAACACCCATTGTGTTTAAAGCTGAACCAACACACACACACACACACACACACACACACACACACACACACACACACACACACACACACACACACACACACACACACACACACACACACACATACGTACACACGTACATATACCCACGTACATACACACACACAAACATAGACATTCTACAATTTATAAGACGAAAAAGTTAAGAAACTTCAAAAGGGTTAAGATCTGCAAAACAGACACGCATTGTTTTAATCATTTGAGACCATTTTAAACCACTTAAACATTCTAAGCCAGACTACTACTACTACTACTACTAATACTACTACTACCACCACTACCACAACTACTACTACTATTATTATTATTATTATTATTATTATTATTATTATTATTATTATTATTATTATTATTATTATTATTATTGACAGCAAACTAGTTAACTCTGGTGGTACCCTTGCGATTCGAATGATGAGCTTCTCAGATTAATACTCCATATCTTGCATTTGGCATATTATTTTATTTCATTATTTTATTTCATTTTATTTGTACTGTCATTTTCATTAATTTTATTATTGCTGAATAAAAAGATTGTTCTCAATGTTATTATTATCATTATTATTATTATTATTATTGTTGTTGTTGTTATTATTATTATTAAGGATTGGGAGTTGGAGAAAGAGTCGCTCCAGTTGGCAATCATAGCTCTGGAAGGCAAGGTTCGTCACTGAAAGAGACTTTTATAAAGAGCAAATAAATTTAATTATAAAATGTTAATAAAAAAAGCATTCATTCAATCATTCGTTCATTCATTCATTCGTTCATTCATTCATTCATTCATTCATTCAAAAGAAAAAATTAATATACGATAGGAAGCAAGTAAATTTAATTATAAAATGTTAATAAAACAGAATTAAGAAAATTTAATGAGGAAATATTATCTATATATATTATTGTTAATTACCTATTAATTATTATTTAATTAATTTCATTTAATATATATTTATTTTTCATTTACTTAATTAATTTTATTTTATTAATTAAAATAATTATTTACTATTATTAGAAATTTTATCGTTAAGAGTGATTGTAAGAGTAGGTAGGGCTGGCAGTTGCTGGCAAGTTCGAAAAGTTAACATTGCAATCAATCTAGACGAACATTGCCACTTTCTTAATATTATAATATAAATAATATAATATAATAATATAATATAAATAAATAATATATCTATTGATATATTATATATATATATATATATATATATATATATCGGATGCCAACATTATTGCTAATATAATTTAATGTTGTTTTTTAAAGATTTCGTCTTCATCATCATCTTCATCTACTACCATCTTCACCATTATCTATCATCTTTATCATCTTCACCATTATCCATCGTCTTTATCATTTTCATCATCTTCATCTACCTCTTCTTCGTCTTCGTCGTCATCAGATACAAGAGTACGAGACGAAGATAGAGAGACAGACTGTCGAATTGGAGGACTTGAAAATCAAAAATGAAGAATTGGAATTCCAAGTTTTGGAGTTTGAAGGAGGAGATAGTGAGGTGAGAGTTCATTCATTTATTCATTTGTTTCTTCATTCATTCGTTGATTCATTCGTTGATCCATTCGTTGATTCATTCATTCATTCATTCATTCATTCATTCATTCATTCATTCATTCATTCATTCATTCATTCATTCATTCATTCATTCATTCATTCATTCATTCATTCATTCATTCATTCATTCATTCATTCATCCATTTGTTCCTTCTTTCACTCATTTACTCATTGATTCACTGATTCATCCATTCATTGATTCACTGATTCATCAATTCATTCATTCACTCATTCATCAATTCATTCACTCCTTCATTCATTCATTCACTGACTTACTCAGGCGATGGACAAAGCTGACCTGCTGGCAGATTGTGCACTGATCCACAGGAACCAGCAGCTGCAGCTGCAGATTGACCAGCTGACAAAACAGCTGCAACAGCTTAAAATAAACATCGACGATCACGATAATGATGACGGTAATTATTATTATTATTATTTTATTATAATTATTATTATTATTGTTGTTTATTATTATTATTATTATTATTATTATTATATTATTCACTCTATTGACATTCCTCAGAGGATAATACCGTGATTAAATGCTTTGTTGAACAAATAAATTTTTAATTCTCTTTTGAAATCTTTTCACGGAACGATTTGCTTCAATCTTACTGGAAGATCTACCATACCTTGGGCATAACAGCCTGCACACACATCTCTCACTCAGTTTTGTCCAGATCCTAGAAATTACCATCATCATCATTAATATTATTATATATTATATTATAATTATGATTTTATTTGTAATTAAAATGATTTTAAGATTACCGCTACTACTACTGTTGCCATGCTGCTACTTCTGCTGCTGCCTATTAATTATTATAACCATTGCCCTAGATGTAGTGACAATTGGAGCAGTGACTTCAATAGCTTCACCATCCACAGCCACCTTGATAACAATATCGTCGTCGTCGTCGTCTTCACCATCATCGTCACCATCACCATCGTTCGGTTATGATGACGATACAACTGAGGCTATAACCACCATTGATGATGATGGTGGTGATGGTGGCGATGATGGTGATGATGATGGAGAGTCGGTCGACTCAATGCCTCTTGATACGGTTGGTTGTTGGTGTTTTTGTTTGGTTTTTAAACTATCTTACATAGAGATAAAAATCTGTTTTGTGTCTTTGCGTCTTTTATATTTATATTTTTTGGCTACTTATCAACTGCGTCATCATCTTCACTCCAACTATAATCATCATCATCGTCGTCATCCATTTCATCATTTTCACCATTCGTTCTCTAGGCCACACCCGCAGCTGATATCATCGAAAGTGAAACTACACCTCGTCTGCAGGAACAATCCCAAAAAACATCAACAACAACCGTACTAAAAGGAGACTCGGAAATTCTAGATAATCAGGACCATCTCAAGAGAATTCAAATCCTCGAAACTCGATTGGCTAGCAGCAAGCTACGCGAAAAGCAGCTGTTGGATCAGCTGGCTTTGCTCTGCCAGGAGAAAACTAGACTCTTCCGAGATTTCCAGAAAATTGAAAACGAAACCGAAACTCTCGAATCAATATTTCCAACCGATATTTCGTTGATTGTTCACGATGACGATAACGACGACAGTGGTTTTGTAAACTATGATCTTGATAATGATGACGATGGTGATGATAGTGATAGCTGTCTCTCGTCCTCCGCCATTTTGAATGAAGAAACAAACAACAACAACAACGATGATGATAATAATAGCGATTATAATAAGTTTGCAAATCAAAGTGAAAGTAAATCGTTGACGTCCTCGAAATGGAAATCCCCAGAGATAGCCAGTTTGAATAGTAGTGATGTGCGATTTTCAAAGTATGTCCAGTCCATGACCGGTGAGGACGAGAATGAAGTGCTACATCAGAAGGTGAGATTGAAAAAAAAACGAAAAATGAATGAATGAAATTAAATTTTTGCAGTTAGATTTATTCCTCACCTCTTTCCCTTTGATCTTTTATTTCATAATCATCACCCTATTGGTCACCATCATCACCACCACCACCATCATCATCACTATTATCATCATCACCACCACCATCATCAACATCATCATCATCATCAACATCATCATTATCACCACCACCATCATCGTCATCATCACCAGGTCTGCAAACTTGAGAAAGACTGCGAGATCCTAAAAGAAATAATTGAGATGGACGAGTCCATTATCTGCGATCTCCAGCTGAGGGTGGAACAACTTGCTAGCTCGGAAAAAAATCTAACTGAATCAGTCGAACGATTAGAAGGTGCCGAAAAGTCGCTTAAATTAAATAGGGATGAGCTGTTTGACGAGAATAAAAAGTATGTATGAGATTTTATGCGTTTAATAAACTTAAAATACATTAAAATTATCATTTCTTAGTCTCATTGTAACCTTAATTTTTCAACACAACTCACGCGCTGCGTCTTTATTCCACCACAATTTAAAAATTCCACCACAATTTAAAAATTCCACCACAATTTAAAAATTCTACCACAAACTACAACCGAGCACAGATTGAAGCAGGAGCTAACGCGTAGCAAATCTCAAGAGGAGCTCTTACAAACGCAACTCAGCGAGTTGAAATTCGACGAGGACCAAGCGAAGAAGCAGCTGGAGCAGGTGGTTGAGGATTTGAAACAAACTGACCTCAAGCTGAAAAAGAAAACAGCCGAACAGGAAAAAGATCGCCAGAGTTGGCTGTCCACTGTCGAAAAACTAGAAGACAGAAACGGCGAATTAGAATCACTGGTGGAACTTTTGAAAAGACGAAATCAAAACCTGCAGAGGCTCTCAGAAGACACTGAGAGGAAGCTAATAGATTCGGAAAACCAATCAAGACGACTGAAACAGCAGGCCGATTGCATGGAACTGCAGCGAGATGCATTCGTATGCAGGATTCAAAACTTCGAGAAAGAACGAAACATTTTACTAGAAAAATCCAACAACCTAGCCGAGAAACTAGAAGAAAAGACATCCATCATAGACCTACTGAACGTTGAAATCGGCGGGTTAAGAGCCAGATTGGAAGCCGATGAAGAGGAAATAACAAAGTGGATAAGCAAAGTGGAATATGGCAATGATGCACAGCTGATTCTGATGCAAGCCATAGAGGAATTGAGGAATGAGAATGAATCACTGAATGAAAATTGTAAAGGATTAGAGCGACGGATTTATAAAATTCAGGTAATTTTTGTTTGTTTGTTTATTTGTTTGCCGATTTGAAAATATGTATGCAGTGGTGGTGTTGCTGGGTTTTGCTGGGTTTTACACTTTTAAGAATGTTTATGTTAAGTGAAATTTGAAGATAATTCTGGCTTATGTTGCTTGGTTTTGTATCAGTTGTCGTGGGATGGCTGTTGAAACATTTCAAAATTTGATGTTCTACAAATTTAGTATGAAATTTCGAGTCATTTCTTCAAAATTGCTGTCAAATTCAAACAGAAATATTGAATTGTATTCACCTAAGTAACGAAGCGTTAATATATGTATTTTATGCGTTAACATTAGCATTAAAACAACAAACATGTATGTATTAACAACACGTTTTAAATTCTAACATTCAAATCCTTACATGTTGATAACAACTTATTCAATGTAATTTTTCCACATTCAGACTAAACAAAAGCCGGACTTGTCATCTGTTGAGACCCAAACAAGCAACAACAACACCAACAAAAATAATCAGACATCAGATAAAGCGCTACACAAATTTTTTCACAATCTAAATTTCAATTTCCATGGCAACAACAACCACAGTTACCATAGCAACGCTCTGCAGAAGTGTCGATCTCTCGTCGACTTATCATTGGTCAACATTATGGTAATGCTATTTTCCGCCATTTTCATTGGTCGGATGAATGAATGGATGAATTAACGAGCGAGTACATGAATGAATGAGCGAATGAATGAATGTATTAATTCACTATCCATGCTGCACTCTAACAAACTTAATAAAACATCAATCTTCATTCCATCTACTTTTAAGCCTACTTTTAATGCCTTGTTAAAGAGAGCCAAAGTTAAACTTGTCTTATGTATGTGCATCAAAAAATTATTAATCATTTATCATCAGACCATATTCTATACATACATCAATTTTTAAATCGCAAAAGCGTACAACGCTTCAACAACAAACAAACAATTAATAACAACAACAACGACGACAACAATAATAATAATAGTAATAATAATAATAATAATCAGTACGACAGACATACGCAGACTTTGACAGCTCCGATGCATAAAATCTGCCCAACTCCCCACAACAACAACAACCACCTAAAATATGACGCCGATAATAAGGTTATTATTATTATTGTTATTATTATTATTGTTATTATTATTATTGTTATTATTATTATTGTTGTTGTTTGGTCATTCATTCATTAATTCAATCATTCATTCATTGTTTATTAATGTCTATAACTTCCAGGTTCCAGCCATGAGCGCTCTAGAATCAACAAATTCATTGATTCCGTTAAATAGAAGATATTTCAGCCAATCGCAATCGCCGATCAATATTTTGTCCAGTCCACCGATATTTAAACCGACCAATGAGAGTTCGGGTAGCAAACTTGGTGGTCTCCTATTGGTTAGCAGGTGCAATAGTGCGTCATCTCATTCTAGCAGCACTAGGGGTAAGTATTTCATTCATTCATTCATCCGTTCCTTCATTCATTTTTCAATTCAATCGTTCATTTATTCATTCATTCATTCTTTCCTTCATTCATTTTTCAATTCATTCATTTGTTCGTTCGTTCATTCATTCATTTTTTTTATTCATTCATTTTACTTTCTCTTATTCAAGCACCATCTGTCGACTTGCACCCTTCCCTGCTAGTCGCCGCCCCTCGTAAATGATTGGTGGGTGGTAGTGAAGCCCTGTACATAATAATTATAATTGTATAATATAATTTAATATAATAATATAATAATAATGATATAATAATAATAATGATGATGATGATGATGGTAACGAGGTTATTCGTTTGACTTATTGGAATCAGGATGTGTTGTTATGATGAACGGTGCTACGTGTTTGTCCAGTATGAATTATTTTTGTAAGAAAAGCCGACGGAAAATATCAAAAAAAAGAGAAAAATATACAAATACAAAAAAAATTACAAAAAACATTAAAAAGTACCAAAAAAAAATACTGAAACTATCATCAAGACGACGACTACTACAACAACTACTACTACTACCACCCGATCAACAGCGCCATTTGTTGGAAGAAATTTTCAACTGTTGAGAAATGAGATGTCAACATTTGTAAAAATATTTCCAACCACATTAACGACGAAAAATTGTACGCTACGGCCAATCAACCATAGCCAGCTGCTTGGATGACGTCATTTGTTTTCTGTTTCAGCTGCAGTAACTAGCTAAGGATGGCAGCTAGTCTACCGATCAGCCTAGCTTGGATAACAGCTCGGCTACTGATCAGCTTAGCTTGAATAAACAGCTAGGCTACTGATCAGCTTAGCTTGGATAAACAGCTAGGCTACTGATCAGCTTAGCTTGGATAAACAGCTAGGCTACTGATCAGCTTAGCTTGGATAAACAGCTAGGCTAATGATCAGCTTAGCCGTGATAACAGCTGTTTGCTCTTAGCTGGCAGCATCATTCAGCATGTAACGATAAGATCTGTATTTATTATATTCGTTGGTGCTTGCACGTTGTCCTCATGTCAACAACAGCATGACGACGACGACGATGATGATGATCTCAAGATGATGATGATTATGATGATGAAAAGATGACAATCATCATCAAGATCGTCATCAATTCGAAGCAGAAGTATTACACGCACCTTTTGTACATACAACTACTTTTACAAGCAGGTTAAGAGCCTCTGGTCGTTCTCTCAAGTCTATTTCATTTTTAATTATTCAACTATAATTATTAACAATAATAATATAATTATCATAATATAATAATAATAATAAAATTACTATTCAGCTGGCTAATGCAACTTTACTCGGGTTTAGTGTTCAGTGAAGAATCAATCTCATGAAAGATGAAATTTTATGTAGCGTGATTTTTTAGTTAAGAAACATTCTTTCAAACTTTTGTTTAGTAACCTTCGAGTTTTTTTTGGAAAAATGGAAATGTCGATTTTCGGAACTGAAACTGAATTAAACGCTATATAAATGAAAATTATTTGATGAATATTAAATAAATATATATATAAATAATATATATATAAATAATATAAATATAATTAATATAAATATATAATATTGTATTTATAAATGGTATGTCATTACATTTATTGTGTCTGATCAGATCATATTAAGTCCAATAAAAAAATATATATCTTTATAATTATTCATCCTAAAGTTCAAATCTAATTATGTTAATAATAATTATTAATAATAATTGATTTTTATTATTAATTAATTAATAATAATTAATTTTTATTATTAATTATTATTGTTCCTGATACTACATTTAAATGTCTGACTGTTCTTCTTTTAACCTCTGTAAGTTCAATTAAACTGTTCAAAAAAAAAATATTTTTCTTCGAGATGAAAATTCAGAGGAAGACAAATGAAATTATCATTGTTACTAGTTAGAGAAGTAATTGTAGTAGAAGTATTATGATGCAATTTTGCCAGTTCATATTTTACATTTTATCTTAGAATGACAGTACTTGTTGAATTAGTTACAGCTCGTTACGGTCTCCCGCTTATATAGCAAATAAACGAATAATAATAAAAAAAGTAGTGGTAGTAGTAATTATAGCAGCAGTAATAGTAGTGATGCTTTAGTAGTAGTGGTAGTAGTGGTAGTAGTGGTTATAGCGATAATAATAATAATAATGTTATTTGTGTCACGTGATTAAAAATAAAGTAACTTTCCAACATCTCTTAAAACAATTCAAACGAAACCTTATCACAAGTGCCTATAAGGAACGAGTGGATGATAACACTGATGATGACCTGTAAATAAAATTATGATTATTATGGCTACCTTATTAATAATTATAGTTATAATTATTATAATTTATAACAAAAGTGATGATGATGATGATAATGATGATGATACAGTAGAAGATGGTGGTAATGATGAGGAAGATGGGTTTATAATGCAACCAGTAACCATGATGTCGCGATGATGATAATAGTAAATATATTAATAACAATAACAATAATAATGAATAACAATATTAATTATAGTTATTATTATTTTTTAATGATAAGACAGATAGTCATAGGTGTTTTTTTGAAATTTTGGGTCGGAGTTCGAGAATTTTCTTCTCATTCAAGTGTACCTTCTTATCAATCAGTTTCGCACACACACACGCACGCACGCACACACACACACGCACGCACACACATCTACCTATATATAGTACAGCAATAGGAACACAGATCGAAGTGGAATGTTTTAAAACCTGGTAATTTGTATTTAAAAATCAAATTTTCGAAGACTCGTAAGTTACCGATTTTCCGAAATGTCGGTTCTTATACCGGTAGTTTTCGGTTTCGTAGTGATGTGTGGCATCGGTATACCGCGTACTGTGGTAGCATTCGAACCGAGTACCGATCAAGTAGAGACTAACTCCGTTGTTGAAGAACATGCACCTCCGAATAATCTTATCGAAAAATACCGACTATTATCCGATTCACCGTTTGAAAAATCGATCCTAGATACGGTTTTTGGCCTAAGCTGGTACCAGAAGTTTTACATATTTTCATCTGTGAGGAAGTTTTTCAAGTTCTCTGATATAGCCACTCACATCTTGAGCAAAAGAATCGATATAGTCTTCCAGAAATTAGTTGATGCTGTTTATTTCAGCAGTAACAACAACATCAACAACAACATCAACAACAACAACAACTATAATGATGATAAGATGTCTGATAACATCTTGTTGAAACCATCGATAAACGAAAGCATTGAAGATTTTAAGAATGAGACACTGCCCTGCCAAGTTTGCATGGTGGGTTTTTGAAAAACATTTTTTTATTTTTAACAAATAACAATAATTAATATTTGTTATTATTATTATTATATAAAATAATTATCATAGCGGAATGAATGAATGAGTTGCTTGAGTGAATGAATGAATAATTGCATTATTAATTTACGATTGAATAAAAAAAACAAACAAACAAAAAAACAAACAACGAAAAAAACCAACCAACCAACCAACCAACCAACCAACCAACCAACCAACCAACCAACCAACCAACCAACCAACCAACCAACCAACCAACCAACCAACCAACCAACCAACCAACCAACCAACTAGACAGCAATAGTAGCTCTGAAGTACCTCGAGCGTAACTACTCCGATGAAGAACTGATAGATGTGGCCATCGGTATCTGCAAAAGCATCTTTCAACCTCGGGGTTACAATGCCGATTACATGTGCCCTGGGGTTGTTAAAAATTATGCCCCACATGTTAGTAATTCAAATTTTATTGGTTCAAACGAGACGAGACAAAACGAGACTAATAAACGAGACGACTGACTATAACGCAGCGTAAAAAAACACAAAACATTACAATACAATAAATCACGATGTATTACAATACAATACAATGCAATACAATACAATACAATACAACACAACACAATACAATACAATACAATACAATACAATACAATACAAATACGAAAATACCAATTTTATTTTTCAGGTTTTAAAAATTATAGCTCCATTAAAAGTACTCCCGAAGAAAACATGCAAGTTCTTTAACTTTTGCATAACATCTGACAAAGCTACTTCTGCTGCTACAGACGCTGTTGCTGCTACTTCTGCTGCTATAGATGCTGCTGCTGCTACTTCTGCTGCTACAGACGCTGCTGCTGCCGCTACAGACGCTGCTGCTAAAGATGACAGCAAAATTGCTTCAGACGACGAAAATGATAGCATGTTCCATAACGAGAATAAATTCATCATTAAACGAATTGTGACAAAAAAATCCAACAACAACAACAATAATAATAATAACAAGAATTCGGCGAAATCCGTGCTTAAGATTGTGCATCTGGCCGATGTACACATTGAAGAGAGGTATAAAGAGGTCTGTAACAACAACAATAATAAAAATAATAACAATAATAATAACAATATTATTATTATTATCGGGCGGCGTGATGGCCTAGCGGTTAAGATCGCCTGGCGCTGTTTCGCAGTAACCGGGTTCGAATACGACGAAAAGATCCCCGTTCATCCCATGCTTCGCGTGTGATATTTTGTTTAGCACGTACTCATAACGATGTTCGTGGCGTTTTATTGATTTCTCTGAACTTTGGAGAAGTGAACTTGACCTTTAACCTTTAACCTTCGATGATGGAAAACAATGATGATGTTGATTATTTTTTTAAAACAGGGGACAAATGTCTACTGCGGTTTGCCTGTCTGTTGTCTGGAGGAGTGGGGGAAGGTGGGGCGAGTGAATGAATGAATGAATGAATGAATGAATGAATGAATGAATGAATGAATGAATGAATGAATGAATGAATGAATGAATGAATGAATGAGAGCTAAAAAATAAAACTAAGCTTGACGACATCAACATTTTTCACACAATGAAATTCATTTATAGTACCACAACATCTCCCATGCAATACGAAACGATACCGATACGTTAACGATATCGATACGATAACGATACAATACCGATAACAATAACCGCAGGGTCCCAGTGGGTTATTTGGGGACTACAGGTGCAACATACCACCGAGAACCTTCGAGAACTTTCTAGAAAAAGTCAACGGCCTAAACCCAGACATAATTATCTTTACCGGTTAACTTTGAATGAATGAACGAATGAACGAACGAACGAACGAATGAATGAACGAACGAACGAATGAATGAACGAATGAACGAACGAATAAACAAATAATTTGACTTCGCAGGCGACGTGTCTCCTCACACTGTTTGGGCTGAAACTTACGAGAGCCAGATGAGGTGCACCAACACAACTGTCAACTTGCTAAGCAAGAATCTAAGAGGGAGGAATGTATACCCGGTCATTGGAAACCATGGTTAGGTGATGATGATGATGATTGCCATGATGATGATAGTGATGATGATGTAGAAGAAGATGATGATGATGATGAAGATGCTGATGATGATAATGACGGTAATGGTAATAATGATGTATGAAAATCACGTGATAAAATCATGGAAAACGTTTATTTCTGGATTTTTTACAATCATTATTGATTGCTAGGAAACGTAAGTATCTTTGAGTATCACTGAGTATCATTATGTATCATTATGTATTGTTGAGTATCATTATGTATCATTATGTATTGTTGAGTATCATTATGTATCATTGAATATCATTATGTATCATTGTGTATCATTAATTTTTATTAAATACACTTCAATGAAGAAACCTTTCCCACCAACTTATTCTCCGTGCGGGACCAACCGGACACCAAGGTAATTAATTATTAAAATTATAAAAAATAATAATATTTACATTAATTATCATCCCAACCAAATTATGGTTTTATTATTGTTTTAATTACGCCATAATTACGCCATAATTACGTCATAATTAGTTTTTTTCGCCCAATTGTACAGAGGTTTCTGGATCACTTCTACAATACATGGTCGAAACTGGCAAATTTTAGTAGAACAGATCAGACTAATATTAAATCTGGTTAAAGATTTTTATTGTGGTAATTAATTAATTGGGTAATTAATTAGGTAATAAATAAATAAATAAATTAGATAATTGATTAATTAATTAAGCAATTGATTAATTAATTAAATAATTTTTTAATTAATCAATGATTAATAATATTTATAACCATAATTTTTTATTTCATAAAATACTTTTCACTTTCCAGGTGGCTACTACAGCAAAATGATACACAAAAATCTGAAGATGATAACAATTAACGGCCTATACATGTTGGTGTCCGTCCGTTCTTTCCATCATTCATTCGTTTTTTAGTCATTTATTTGTTCGTTCACTTGTTCACTCGTTCGTTCGTTCGTTCACTTGTTCACTCGTTTAGGTATGTCCATAACTATTACAATGTTTGGAATCACGAGACATTGCTACTACCGCCCGAAGTCAAAAAGATGAAACAGTTTTTGGAAGATGAATTGAAAGATGCTAGAAGAAATAAAAATAAGGTGATGATGAGGATGATGATGATGACGTTGTTGGTGCTGAGGATGATGATGGTGACCACAGCCACTATCATCATCGTCATCATCCCATTCATCATCATCGTCGTCGTGTCGTCGTCATCATCATCGTCATCATCATCGCCAGGTTCTTTTAACTTTCCATAATCCATTTGGGACGTCAGACTACATAGTATCCGAATCGATCTACATGGAGAGTATCATACGTCAGTATCATGACGTCATCGTTCTCAATCCTGTTGGACATACACATTTTGATGAATTCAGAGTGGTTGGTTGGCTGGTTGGCTAGTTGGCTGGTGGGTTGGTTGGCTGGTTGGCTGGTTGATTGTTTATTTATTTGTCAACCATCAAATCGTGCATTCATTTGTTCAACGATCATTTATTCATGCATCCATCCATTCATCCATCCATCCATCCGTCCATCCGTTCGTCCATCTATCCATCCGTCCATCCATCCATCCATCCATCCATCCCAAATAGATATACGATAAAGCAGGTGTGCCAGTATCAGTTCAATTAGTATCGCCATCCGTATCTACGTCCAATTACAGAAACCCGACAATTAGGATATACTATCTTGATAGTGATAGCTATCAGCTGCTTGATTATGAACAGTATCTCTTGAATATCATGGAGTTGAAGAGTATGTTTGTTTGTATGTTTGTTTGTTTGTAGGCTTGTTTGTTTGTATGTTTGTTTGTTTGTTTGTTTGTATGTTAGTTTGTTTGTATGTTAGTTTGTTTGTATGTATGTTTGTTTTTGTGTATGTTTGTTTGTTTGCATGCTTGTTTTTTTGCATGTAAAAAAATGCATATTCATTCATAGTCTATACATACTTGAATAGCATTCCATTCATTAATGTTTCTATCATCATCGTCATTGTCATCATCGTCATCATCATCAACCTCATCACCACCGAAAACCATCATTACCATAACCCCCACAACGTAATCATCATTATCAAGACCTGACGATGGCAGACGTGCCGAACTTCAACATCAGCAACTACATCAGGCTGATCTACAGCTGTAAGAGTGAGTACAATATGACTGATTTGTCGCCAGTGTCATGGGATTCCCTGATTGATAGGTGTGTGGTTTTGTGTGCTTGTGTGTATGTGCGTAAGTGTGTGTATGTGTGTGTATGTGTGTGTGGGTGTAATTTTGTAGCAATGAATGGAAATTAATAAAAATACTTGTAGTTTGTCAGTCGTCTTTTGGGACAGTTTGATTGATCGCTGGGTGTCTCTTAGAACTTCTGTGTGTATTTCTGTGTGTATGTGTGTGTATACGTGTGTGTGTATGCGTGTGTGTGTTGTGTACGTGTGTGTGCGCATGTGTGTGTGTGATGTTTGTTTTCAGTTTTTTATATGTTTTTTTTTCAGCCGAGAATTATATCAACAACATATATAAACACTCACACAAACACACAGACAAACACACACACACAGACAAACACACACACAACAGAAACAAACACACACACACAGACTAACACACAGACAGACAAACACACACACGTACCGACACACACTCCAGAATGAACGCCAGTAAATCCCTGCTCCTGAAGTACGTGAACCACTACAATGTGCATGTGAAAAATTTCACGAACGTCAACCGCCTGGACAAGCGAAAGCACCTCTGCAGGGTGAAAAACGTGCATTACGATAAATACCGGAACTGCGTTTTCGATAGGGATAAGTGGGAGAATCCGGATTTCGAAATCGGGATCGCCCTGACAAAAAGACCCCCACTCATGCAGCCGATCGTAAATACATCGGATAGAGTTTCCGGCTGCTGTGTCGTCTGGATGATGATGGCTGTGATGTCGGTTTTGATGATGATGTGGTGATGATGTGGTGATGAAGAAGAGGATGTGGTGATGATGATGAAGAAGATGAAGATGTGGTGGTGATGATGAAGAAGATGAAGATGTGGTGGTGATGATGATGATGAAGATGAGGATGGTGATAATGATGATGATCTGGACGTGGTGATTAATTTGAAAAGGACGATGATGTCCTTTCATGACGATGATGATGGTAATGATGATGATGACGATGATGATGGTGGTGATAGTGTTTACAATCTTTTCATGAATTCGACCAATAAAATATTATTACCAAAGATCAATAAATGATAATGACGTCAATACTTTGAAATAAATAAATTTCACTGATTAAAAACTTTATATTATTAAAAACACACACACACACCACAACACATACATACATACACACACATACAGCAATTATTGAAGTAATAACATTTTTTTATTTATCAATAATCTATATAATCAATATTCGCACACACACACGCACATATATACAAAACACACACACACAACAATTATTGAAGTAATAATATTTTTTTATTTATCAATAATCTATTGAAGTAATAATATTTTTTTATTTATCAATAATCTATATAATCAATAATCACACACACACACATACACACAAAACAACACACACACACACACACATACACACACAGACACACACACACACACAATAATTACTGAAGTAATAATATTTTTTTGTTTATCAATAATCTATAAATCTCTGATAACGAACGGTGATTACGATTAATCGACGTCTGATTTTACAGCTGAAACTATTAAATCAGCTAGTAGCGTAAAATAATATCTATGAATGAGTGAGTGAATGAATGAGTGAGTGAGAGAGTGAGTGAGTGAGTGATTGAGTGAGTGATTGAGTGAGTGATTGAGTGAGTGAGTGAATGAGTGAGTGATTGAGTGAGTTAATGAGTGAGTGAGTTAATGAATGGATAAATTATGAACAAACAAACTGATGAATTAATACAAAAAAAACTTTAGATTGATTGAGTGCATGAATATATGGATGAATGAATGAATGAATGAATAAATGAATGAATAAATGAATGATTGAATTAATGAATGAATGAATAAACAGAAAATGAATAAATGAATGAAAGAAAGAACGACTGACTGATTAAACTCAATTGCAGTCAACAATCTACACTAAAAATATTAATAACGTTAATTTGTCCCTAGGTTACAGTTACGTGTAGAAATAACATTGTATGTACGTGCGGTTGTTTGTTTGTGTGCATGTTTGTATGCATGTTTATATGTTTGTATGCATGTTTGTTCATACATTCATTCATTTTGTTTGTTGGTTTGTTTGTATGTTTGTTTGTTCTTATGGGTATATTTGATTGTGAAATTTGACACTATTAAATATAATTGAGTTGTTGAAATGGATTAGCTCGACTGTAAATTATTTCAGGTATGTTTGATTGTGTGGGTGTTTGTTTGTCTGTTATATGTGTGTATGTTTGTTTGCATGTGTGTGTATCTGTGTATGTATGTTCGTAAGTATCTTAATGTATGTATGAATGCACGTACGCTTATATGTGTCTATTTATATGTGTATGTATGTATGTGTGAGTGTATGTATGTATGTTTGTTTGTATGTATGTGTGTATGTTTGTATGTATGTTTGTATGTATGTGTGTATGTATCAGTGTTTACGCAATTTAATTCATTGTATTTAATTAATATTAATTTATACCGAGTTAATTGCTCCTTTGATTGGCGAAGTCTTAAATTCGAGCAATTAAAAATGCTCATTCATGGTTACGACGACGATGATTTTAATCATAATAATAACAACAAAAACAAAAATGATGATGATGTTGTTGTTGTTGTTGATAATGATGTCACTAAGTTTGTGCAGTTTGAAAAGTTAAAATGTCGTTTTCGCACTTCCAGAGTAGTCGTGACGTGGTTCGAATCGAATTTGCTTGGTAGAACACAACGGGTTCTCCTCAACTCTACATTATCTGAGACCCAAATGGTTCCATCTGGAGTTCCTCGAGGTTTAGGACCTCTGTTGTTCATGCGTTTATCCACTCTAAGCTAGACTACTGTATTAGTGTTTCCTATGGAACTTCAAACAAAATCATATGCCAACTACAGTCAATTCAAAATCGAGCAGCTAAAATATTTACTGGTGGGTTAAAATTTAAACACGTGAGTCATATCTATTGAACCTGCACTGGCTGACTGTTAGGCAAAGAATCAAATTCAAAATTGCCATCATGGTATTCAAATGTTTGAATAGTTTCAGTCAGTCCGAGTTACCTTTCTGACGAGTGTTTGAATGGGTTCGCACCTGCTTAAAGTCCTCAGATCGTCAGGATCTTCTATCGGGACCATGAACAACACAAGTGGCTGCAGAAAACAAGACTTTTTCCGTGGCCGGCCTAGCATGTATATGCTTGTACCGGCATATATAACCTATTTGTACGTGTTAAAAGATAATGGTTAATGTATATATGCCGTTAATCTTATATATATGTAAATATATATAAACATATATACATATATGTATCTATATATATATATACATGTACATACATATATAAAATTGTAGATTGTATAGCGCGCGGTTGAATACAAAGACCCACATAAGCATACACATGTATATATACACACATATATACACACATACATGTATAAAATATGTATAATATATATACATACATATGTATGTATGTATGTATGTGAACATATGTATGCATGTGTACATTTGTATGTATGTTTTCATATGTATGAATGTGTACAAATACATATGTATGTGTATGGGTATATATATATATATGTATTTGATTTAGTTTCGTTTAAATTATAAAAATTCTACGGCCCTGTCGGATTGCATGTGCCTCTCTTCTTCTTCAAGTCAGGTCTGTGATAAAAAGTTCGTTGGTGAAGCTAATGATGATGATAATGATTGTTTAGTAGTAGTAGTAGTAGTAGTAGTAGTAGTAGTAGTAGTAGTAATAATAATAATAATAATAATAATAATAATAATAATAATAATAATAATGATTACGATTATTCTCGCGTAAATAAATATGTGTATGTATTTGCGCGCGGAGATGAATGATTTTGCGAAACGAAAATGACACAAACGTTAACTGGAATGGGTGACTTTTTGTTATTATTATGATTATTATTATGATTATTATTATTATAATTATTAATATTATTGTTATAATAATTATTATTATTATTGTTATAATTATTTTTTCATAACTTGACTCTATTGATTTTACAGAATCGCTCCAGATCATGTTACTCATTTCTCTCTTTGAACTTAAACTAAAACGGAGATAAGGCAGAACCCGTCATCATCATCATCATCATCATCATCATCATCATCATCACTGACGTCATCATCATCATCATCACTGACGTCATCATCATCATCGTCATTGTGATAATAATAATAACACTTTTATTACTATGATATAAAAATGAACGTTTAATTAACTGCTATTTTTTTTACCTAATAAGAATAATATGAATTAATAATATTAATAATAATAATAAATTATAATAAAAAAAAAAATAATAAGAATAATATTTATCATCATCGTCATCATCCTCATTTTTTAACCAACTCATCTGCCAATGATGGTGTCGAGGAAAAAACTTTTTGCCTGAAGAATTGGTGGGTGTTATTTTATTTTTGTATACACACACACACACACACACACACACACACTCAGACGCGCGCACACACATATACATACAAATAAAAAGAGACAAATTTTGATTGTATGAAATCTTGAGAACGTAATGACGTTTGTGACATTTTTGACTGCTTCTAAAAAATATGAACTTGAAATGTTTGTTTGTATGTTTGTTTGTATGACTGTTTGTATGTCTGCTTGTTTGTATGTTTGTTTTTATGTCTGTTTGTATGTATGTCTGTCTGTTTGTTCATTTGTTTGTTTGTATCTTTTAATATTTGAAATTTATTGTATTTGTTTTTACCCTTAACATTTGTTTTTTTGTTTGCCTTTTATGTATGTTTTTATGTATGAATGTATGTATGTATTTTTGAATGTTTGCATTTTTTTACAGACACACGCACACACATACACACGCACACACACACACACACACACACACACACACACACGCAAGAAAGCGTAAACATTATTTAGATCTGGCATCTTTTACAAACATCACGTACATACATTACATACTAATGTACATTCCTACACGCACATAAAGACACACACAAACACACACACACACATAAAGACACATAAACACGCACATACATCACCGTATTGAAAATGTATTAAGAGACTTTTATTTACATTACCAACTTTTATTAAGCACTGCATATTGTGAATGATGATGATGACGAAGACGACGACGATGATGATGACAGCAATGATGATGCTATTTTTTTTCTATAACGGAAATAGTTATGGAGATGTTGATTTCAAATTACCGACGTCACGACTCGGGAAACTGAGAGAAAAAAAAAAGAAAATAATAATAATAATAATAATAATAATAATAATAACAACAATAATAACAACAATAATAACCGCAATACTAGTAGCAATAACAAAAAAATAATTCAATTGAAATATATTATACGAAGTTATTCCATAGCCACGCATGCACATGTAGACAAACACAAACACATATAAACACACACAGACACATATAAACGCTAATATGCACACAAAAAACAAACAACATACAAAAGTAGACACACACACACAAAACATACAATCGTTCACACGCACATACACACATACAAGCGTAAACACATGTACACGCACACATACTACTTTCCATTTCATTACACTAATCCTATCCATTAATATCAATTTGATTGTTTTGTGTTACTCTTAATACTAATGCTTAATTCGCTATGTTTATATACTAAGTAAATATACGGTTATTGAGTAAATATACTAAAATAGTATGGAAATTTATGTATACATGTATCTATATGTGTTTGTTTGTATGTACGTGTGTTGGAATGTTTGTTTGTA